TAAGAACCTAGATGTATAAAAGTATGAAAACACCTGTTCAATCGATGAGCATCTGGTGTTTTCCAACAGTACACAAAATCTAGTGCTCCTTACATTTCAAAGTGCCACAGCTTGTCATTCTTTGTTTTGATAACTTATTGCCTCATCAGTTCTTAGTGATGATTCAATATTATTGCACAAAATATCACATTTCTTTAAATTACATACTACACTAATTGAAAATGAAAACTAATGAAACTAGTGAGTATATTTAAAAGAGTTTCAGCTCAAAAAATAAAAACTGGGAGTAGTTAATGCTACACAAACAAGATAAAGTACACCTAATTTTACCCTAAATAGGCAAGAACTTGTACAAAAACCGTTATTACAGGTACTAGGACATAACTTCAAAATAATTAGTATAATACAGCAACAATAATTGGGTGGTAACTAAACTGAAGGATGAATAATACCAGGTAACATCTGCAGGAACACTAAAATACAGACTGTAATAACAAAGTTCAGGTCCATATATAGACAAACAGAATGGAGGTTTAATGAATTAAGTTTTACTGTAGTCAAGATTCTGACCTATAACACCATCACCACACTATTAATAATTAACATTTACAATGAATACATATTTAGTGGAAACATACTGAAATGAAGTCTGATAATATGCAAACAGTTCAACACTACCAACACCGAAGCCAACAAATGGACACAATCCTGAAAACTTAGTATTAATCTGCCAAACAGGCTACCAAAATTCTGTATGCATCTCTAGTTCCATCCATTCAAACTGGATGTAGAGATCATCTTAATCCACCTGATATTTACTCTAAAAAATTGTTTCTAAGAATTGTATAGGACTAAGGGAAGCAGGAGTTATTTTATGTGGAGAAAAGGAATTGCAAAGAATTCATTTGTTGAATATGTGTATTCACTTTTCCACTTGTTTTAAGTTATTGGGCTATTGTTAAGCAGTGTTAAATTATGAAAATGTATGCTTGATGTTAGCATATTTGGTCTTTCCTATTTCTGCCCTCTGAATGTTTGGTTAGTAAGTTCCTCTCACACACATTTGGAATCACCTTATACTTAATGCTGCAAATTTAACTTGGTGGGGGGGACAAGCAAACTGGTAACAACCATTTTTATTTTACAGTCCAGTGGTGAGTTCTTGTCAACACAATAATGAACCTACAAGTCCTATAAATGGCAGGGAATTTCTTGACCAGCAGCAAAACAAGGAGTCTGCTCCAGAGTTATTTTTATGTATATTACAGAAGATAATATGGCAATACATGAAGTAAGCATTTAGTTTTCAGTTTTATAACTGATGAATAATTATAATTAAGCATGTGGAATTTGGTGTGGTAAAGGTTATGTAAATTGGTGATAAAACATTGATGTGATTAAAATATTACAGACACAGTATGAAAGTGAAGAAAAGTTTTTTCTTCTTCACTTTATAACCACCCAACACAACTGGTAGCCTGAGATAACTTTGATACAGAAGAAAGAATAGTTCATGTCCCCCCCCCCAACAGTATCTTGACTTATCAGACTCACATTTCAGAAATACCAGCACCTGCATCTTTGCATTTAAAAATGCAACCACAATATGCTGACTTCACACTATGACATGTTCACAGCAGCAATTAATGTGTATGTTGCTATTTTTGTAAACCATTTTTACTAAAAAGCAATACTACTTTTCTCCTAGTTATATGGTTATATAACTATCACAAACAATTAAAGACACAAATTCCTATCAGTGCACTATAAGTAAGTGCAACTACAAATAGAACATATAGCTATAACTCTGCTCCTTGTTCTTATTCAGTACCTAAGGCACCAAAAAGCATAGTACTATCTTTCTGTACTGGTACCATTTCTATGAGAATTACTGACCATAAAAATTCTTCATAAAACTGCAATCTACTAATAATGATCAGCTTAAGGTCTTAAGATCATAATCCCTGTTTAAAAAGTTCTTGAACTGTATGAGTTAAAATGGTGGACTTCATTTTAACCGAACAAGAAGTACATATCTTTAGTTCTATGAATATAAGTACCGGAACTTGTAAGTTTTATAAATACTTAATATAAATAACATTGCACATATTCAAGAATACAAATAAATCATGCTTACAGATGGGGAAATGAAATACTTAACTAGCAATCTTTGCTATTTACCTGAGGGGTTCAGTGTAAATGGACATGGGTTAATCCATGACAAAATAATGTGTCATATTAGCAATAAAACAAAACCTCAAATCCTACACAGCAATAAAATAGTTATGCCAACTTCATTAGTAATAGAAAAACATACTAATCTATTCTGCTACATAATTATTTGGAAATGTCATCACCATAACTTCCAATTTTAAACTCCATCACATGTACAAATTATTAACAAAAACTGCTAATACAGACTAAAATAATAGTACAACATTCTTTGCAGTGTTCCTTTGGTTAACAAAACAATCTACAGTTAACTCTACAAATTCTAACCTCAGTATAAGACAATCAGATACAAGATATTTTCATCAAGATGTGCCTACTGTTTAAATAAATTATATTTGTGTTTAAAACCTAGCGCCATCAGAACTGTGATATTCAAATTCAGTTGCTTCTATTATTAGTTATAAATGCCATTAATTAATCTAAACCAGTTGATTTAGAACATACAATTACATTCACCCGATTGTCTCCTCAAAATATAACCCTTATAACCATGGTATCCACTTTCCACAACTTGATGTTTAAATTTAATCTGCAAACCAGTTTGCAATGTTGTTTTCAATTAATTATGTAGACCTCTCTCTCTCATTTTAAAGAATATATATATATATATATATGTGTGTGTGTGTGTGTCAGCATTTAACTGTTTTTCCTACATAATACCTAGCATAGCATTTTAAAATCCATAGACTGTCAAAAAGAAAACTACAATAAATTCACAATACCTTATTAGGTCCAGCATAATTGCAATTTAAATTTTCTCCTGAGGACAGAAAGTCTTGATCACCATGTACAGGACAACACTAAACCATCCAAACTTAAAAACAAGTATGAACACCTATTCATAGACTTTAACTTCACTTACCATACTGCAGTATGATAAACATAATAAAATGTAATATTATCTGAAGTAATTTAACTCCAGAACTACCAATTATAAAATATATCAGTACCTATAGGTATTCAGGGAAATATATTAGTAAGTTTTTCAGTGAGCAGGAATATTTTTAGAACATATTTGAAAACAAAAGCATTTATAGTCATACTTTCTTAAAGAAAATCAGACAACTGTAGTGATTTTCAACATAATTCAGTACAGGAAAGTGAAAATCAGAAATTATTAAGAGGTTCTGAGGAATACTTAATACACTCCAAAAAAAAATTATAAATGTGTAGAACAATACTTCAAGATTCATATTTTCTATAGTAAAAAGTAAATGGGACATAGGACAAGTCAGATAAAAGGGAAAAAAAATTTTTTTTGTTAAACTAACCTGGCAGTACAGAAAATAAAGCCAGCAGCAGAAACAGGTGAAACACTGAAAAACTTGCAACAAATTATACTGTATCATAAAAATACTTGTAGTTTTATTTTTGCAAAGAAGAAATCTTGGGGGAAAAAACCCAGAATGAGTCACAACAAACCTAACCCCTTTTATATACTTTTTAGCCTAAGGACATTTACTCTCATCAAGTGACACAAATTATGTCATATATCCACCACTCAAGGAATAAGAAAAATCTGTCATTCACAGCCAGTTTTGAAATAATGGTTCATCAAACAGAGGACAGTATGGAACATAAAATGTTTAATTCACAGTATAATTCTATAATTTTTTTCTAAATCATTTTTGTCATAAATAGAAAGAAACGTATAAAAATTATTTTGGTGGCAGCCTTAATTACTCAGTATAATCTAATAGTAACAATCATGGACTTCTTAAAGAAGTCACACTATTATATTCCATTAAAATAAGTAAATATAATTTTAAAATTTGCCCAGAATGTCTGAATTACTGAACAGGGACAAAAACTGATATTTAATCAATTTGTTTCAGTAAGAACCACTACCAAAATGAAATTCTTTAAAAACCCATTCCATCAGAGTGGCGTCTTCTTATTGTGTACATATTGTTTTTGGTTAATAAAATAATTGATAGGATGATAAATTGAATTTTTTTATATATTTCAAACAACACAAAGTAGCTTTATGAATCTACTGGGTAGCCACTGCAGTTGGAGCAGATGTGAATCCACATGAACCATACAAAAAAGGAAGCCAGGCAATTAATAATAATGGCAAGACAAGACCATGTCACATACATGTGCAAAAAGAAGAGGTGTTTGTATGTCAAAAATAAATTACTTGTTCCTTTAATGTTGTGCATTGCTTCACAGTAAATATTTAAATAATAAGTACAATATATATATATATATTTCTGGTTAAAAAGAAAAAATAAGTGCTGATAATATGTAAACTTCCTGTCAGTCATAAATCAAAACTTGTTCAGCACTACTGTTTCTGAGTATACCAGAATAATTACACTTTACAATGATAAAGAAGCCCTTATAAAACATATATCAAATTGTAAAACAGTTTAAATGTATGACACTTGAAACTATTTGGCATGTACACAAGATTGCTGAATGAGCACATATATACCAGAGATGAAAATTAATTGGCACACCAAGATAAAAAATCGCATACAACTACAGGTTGGTGATTTCATCACCTATTGGTCCATTGATGTATATGGTCAGAAAATGACTAGAAAATTGCATTCAACCATTCTGTTGGTCCTGTATTTCTGGAATTTAGATAAATTACAAAGCCACAGTAAAAGCAGTCATAAAATTTTTAACAGTAAAAAATCATATCTACAAATCCAGTGATGATCTCAAAGACATAACCTTTTAAGTCAAGAATAGAAATGACTGAAGTTTTCTGTTACTGTAACACGACAGCTTCATGCTGATGATACCCTCTCACTACAAAAGAACAAATCTTGCAATAACATTGTGAAATGCTACAAAAATTAACACAGTTCTTTAGGACAGAAACATCATATTCACCTGAATATAAAATATTCTTCCAAATTTACCATCTGAAAGATGAGTTGTCCTGTAATGACAAACAAAACAAAATACTTTACCAGGTTTGTATCACCATCATTAAAAAGCATTCAATGCTTTTAGTGGAGGTACCACTGCTATCCATAGCATAGTTACTGAGCAAAAGTGAGTGCCGAGCATAACACCAGAGTGACTGAACAGTGCCTTCCATCACACAAGAAGTGGTCACACACTATCCGATTAAAAGAAGCACATGGGCTTAAGATGAGTAATGCTGACTCGGTAAATTAAGCCTTTCTGTAAATTAAGACTTCAGAAGGCGTGATCATCTTATATTCAAGTAAATATGGTAATCTGTATTTGGACACAGATGTGGTCATGCTGAACTTTTTACTTGCTCACTTTGTATTTCACCACTTGTCATTTGACTATATTACTTGAAAAAAGCGCTTATACTTATCTAACACATTAAATTACATGCTGATGATCCTCTCAAGGCCAACCAAAGTTGATTCCTGTAAGCTGGTAGAAACGAGCATTGAAGGGTCTGTAGAATTCTCTCAAGCGCTCTACAGCAGAGGAGTCAATATGTGGATGGTTGCGGCCCTTAGTCTTTCCCAAACAATGTGGACTAGACCGACCTTCAGACTTCATCAAGCATGGAAAACCTTTTGTTGAGTTGAAGTAGAAATGTTTTTCAGTCACAACTCTCTTCAGACCCAAGAAATCCTATCAACATCACAGTAATTTAACATTTAACTACCATGCACAGATTTAAATTTCATAGCTAAAGGTTAAAATATTAGCACCACACCATTCAGACATATGTTGAACTGGAACAAGTTATTCAATGTAGAAATGTTGTCTTGTGTGTACAATGAAATTAGTGAATATAAAAAAAGTATGATACTACGATACACAAATTTATAGTTTTATTCTCTTCTTTTCAATGAATAATTCATATTATAAGTTGTACATGTTCATTCAATTAAGATCACTGTTTATTGCATTAGTTTTTCACATGGGATAAAACTAGTTTTATAATCATTATAATGCCTTCCCTTTTAAAGGTATTTTCTTGCTTAAGAAATTTAGGCTCCTTGGTCCCTCAGAAGAGTTCTTAAGGATCCACTGTATCTTCATGCATCTTCCAGTGTAACCCCTGATCTGAAGTTAACTCTTTCCATGATACCTCCAATGAAAAGTTATACAAGCATTTGTTCATCCATGCTACATGCATAACATATTTCAATAACCTAATTTAATCTCAATGGTGAAGAATCACAAATGCTGAAGTATATTCTATAATTGCTTCTGTTCCCTTCTCACATCTGTCTGTCTGAATTTGGTTTACTTAATATTTTGTTTTAAATATTCTTCGCATAGCTTTTTCCTCAGATAATACATTTTTCCACATCAAGCATAACAAGGAATACAATTATAGTTCTCCACATCTTAATCTATACTTCTTTAAAAAGAAGATAAAAAGATACTGAACTGACAGCATGCACTGCCTTATCTTTGACCCTGATTTCACTGCATCTTATTTATTATGTTTTTACTTTGACTCCCATATAAATTAACTTTATATTTTCAAAGAACTTAGTAGCACTCACTAGGTTGTAATTGTATTCTTGATTCCACTAACAGAAGATGGACGAATTCTTAGTTTTCCCTGCATTTTTCAAAAATAAGGTAAGATGAACAATTAAATCTCAACAGCTCAATTCATACTGATGACAAATGACAGCACCACATAATTCATCCACATGTGAACTTCCTATACTTTCTATCTAGTTTTCAGAATGTGTGCGATGTAAAAGAAGCTCACCTGTACTCTAGCCATCTCTGCTGCTGGATCTACTATAAGTCTTTCACCACTGACAAATAAAAGTTGATTCAAAGGAAAGCAACGCAACCAGCGTTCCAAATGCCGAGCATATACACCAATTTTGACGGGTCCCCATGATGTATCTACCAGACCACCAGTACCATTCAAAAATGCCAAGTCTTCAAATCTACGCATGCCAACCTTCTTGCTGTAAGAAAACAATATCAGAATCAGTCACTGAAAATGGTTCCTAATATACAAAGTTTACAAATTAAGACTGCATCTGCATGTGTGTAATCATAAGTAGCTTACCCAAGTGCATAACTTTATATCCCTTTGTAAATACACATTGTAAAGGTGGTTTTGCTACAATGTAACAGAAAATGTCTTTAGATATCTGATTAATTCTTAGATTATTTACTTATGATTTTTAACTGTAGAGGATGGATAGTTAAATAAAATGACTGAGATGACAAATTAGAAAGGCTGTGGAAGGAGTGGCCAATTTTAAGGTAGTATCCCAAAATTTGTATGGAGGGACTAGGAGAACAATGAAAAACTTTGCCCAGGACATCCGGTCTCTCAGCCTAAATTTCAACCTGTCATTTTACAACAATCTACTCTGAAGAAATGTATAAAACTGGATTTGAACATCAAGTAAAGTGTGATGTGCAGGTGGATTGATACCTGACCATTAAATTTTATCATAATCCATTCAGCAGTTTCAAAGATTAAATGTGTAAACATACAAACTGATGGACACAACCTCCAATACACATATTCACTTCAAGTACTTTCCGCAAAGAAAGTATGAAACACAAAAGAAACAGAAAATAAAGTCTGAATGTAGTGCTCCATGTTGAAGTAATAAAGAGGAATTATCTTGCCATGCAATATTTTCAGTACGCAATATATCACACTGCCAAAAAAATATTTTGCAAAAGAATTTCCATATATCTGAATTACCTGGCTGCTTGTGTATAATCAGATATAGCTCTGGTGACAGGGTCCCTCACCACAATCAGAAGTTTGGTGTTAGGATTCATCTGATGGACTCTCTGTGGAACTTCCCTTGTCACAAAATAACTTGGAGTTTTCTCCATTGTCACCTGGCCTTCCAAAGTTGGAGGCATATGATGCCTACAACAAAGAAGATTTTCTATAGCTGTCTTCTTTAATTTGTGAAAGCCTGCAACATGAACACTCAATTCACATATTAAGAAGTGCATAACTTGAACTCTTCAACAAATATTATTAGGGTGATCAAATGAATAGGAAATGTAATGCACATGGAGAAATGAGAAATTCATACAAGATTTTACTTTATAAACATAAATGGACAATATCACTTATTCACAGATGGGAGAATGATGTTTTAAAGTGAAACCTAAAGAAATAAGATGTGGATTGGATGTATATGGCTCTGCAGTGGATCCAGTGAAAGGCTCGTTTGTGAAATTTCTTGACCAAATGAGTGATTATTGACTTCTAAAGTAGCAGTCACTTTGATGGAGTTATTTAGTTCAGATGACATTACTTGGGTACAAAAACTTCATTTTCAGAATCTTTAATATCAAAACAGCATGTCACTGTATGTGTAAATGAATACAAGAGAGTTTTTTTTGTAATTTTCTGATTGCATCCTTTAAATTTCCCAATCCTCAAATCAAACTGTTAGATGAAATCCCTACCTGTACCAAGTAAATCCCTTTCTGTAAAACCGATCAAAGAAATGAACCTCAGATCCTGCAGCACGGACATCTGGATGGAGGCGTATGAATTCAAGCAATGCTCTAGTCCCACCTTTCTTCACACCAATGATGAGAGCATCTGGAAGTTTACGGCTTGGACGTAAACCTTGCTGTCGAAGGAACCTATACTTAGGAGCACCATCCAATGGTTCTCCATTTGACTCATTACCTAGAGCCAACCCTGTCCAGGTGAGTGGCACCACCCGCACTATAGTTTGTTTCTCCTGCCACACTTTATGTTTTTCTTCATGTTCATCTAGGATTGGCTTTGGTGCTGTTGCAACTAATGACAGCAAACCTCGGGCTCTTTGCTGAAACATGACAAACAACTGGTAAAATGAAATTAAGAAGACATCTGAACAGTGATCAGCCAAGAGTAACAGCTGTGAACAGTGCAATCTCAGGTTTAACAATTTACCTCTGACCAGAACAGCAATTACTCACTTAAGGGATGCTGCAGTTTTTCAAACTAATATTAGTAGTTTACATTTGCATTTGCTTAGATAACACTAAGTTCATGCAGTGGTAATGCTTGAGAAGCTGACAGTCACTCAGTCAGTCAAGAAATTCCCTAATTTTCATCATGAAAACGTCACTTAGAGTTTGAACATATAAAGTATGAAGTATGTGTTCTACTAAAACAGAATTGTTCCTTCTAAAATTACTACATCTTCCATATTGCAGAAAATCAGTTATATAGCATTCTCCTATTCTAGGCACTTTTTCAATACCAAATAATCATACCTGTCGAATTGCTCGGGTCAAGTTTATGACAAGACACGAGTTGAAGGAGTATGAGAGGTAAAGTACCCCAGCACACATAATCAAAGTCAAAGCACAGGACCTCTTGTTCATTCGCCAGAGTAGATCCCATCCTCGTCGTGCTGACATACCTGGTAACTCACACCGTGATGTAGCACCATTTTATTCTAAAATCAATACAAGACAAAACACATAACTATACTGGCAGTAAACTGAACACAACACAAAGGCATCTGTACTTAACAGAAAAACAGGTACACTTCAAAATGTCACTTTTTTGGAAATCATAACAGATGAAGAAAATAACAAAAAAATCTCGGAACTTCGCTTAAAAAGGTATAATAAAATATGCACATAAACAACCCAATTGCACATGCTAAACGCCATAAAAAATGTAAACAATTTGGGTGCATTAATTTCACCCAACAGTCAAGATGTAATTAATTATACTATTCAAAAATGTATCCGACTATTGCATACACACTTCTGGTTCACTTATATCAGCTCGCTAGACAAACTGAGAACAGATTGAAAAAACATGAACAGCCGTACTTCTCACATCATAAAAAATACAAAATCTAACCTAAAAATACGACAGACTTCATACGCCTTCATGCTCTTTCATGGAACCTACAACATCCGCATAATCGATAGCACCTGCCAAAACTGAGCACCGGGCAATCGCATCGTGAACAGAGATTATGTACCTACTTTTTGACGTTTTCCGTCTGCTTCAACTGGGCCAGTACCACGGAACACAAACAGGAAGGAAAACAGAATACACACTTTGCCATCTAGGGACAGAAATAGGACACTATATTCCGCTGCTTGAACTATCAGACGGTGAAGAAATTATTAAAAATCGAGGCATCGGCGCAGGAATAGGAGGCCTTGTTTATTAAAGAGAATTAATGCAATAACCTTTATAAAGTTAACTCGTTGAAACACCGTGTGGAAAACCTTCTCCGCAAGAATCTCAGATCTCATACTTGTTTCGGCATATATAAAGTTTTAATCTAGTATGTAACGTTTTTTTTTTTTTTTTTTTTTTTTGCATACCACCCATTTTGACATGTATCATGTTAACATCATAATGTCATATATTTTTGTACGTACAATGCCGGGAATTTCTTGTCTAGCTAAGTAATAACATCTCGAGGAGTACTTCATGGGCTCAGTTATGCCAATTTAAAATGTCCACTCGTATTGATTGGAGGCATTTCATAAGATGAACTCGTACCTACTTCACCGCCGTTTGTGATCATTTAACAAATGCAAATATGAACATTCACATATTACAAGTACATTAAAATCAAAATAAGGAACAACTACTACATATAATACAGATTCGCCAACTCGCAGGATTATAAGGCTGTGAGCTAAATCCAAAAACTTCGTTTTTCTCACACGTATAACGTGTTTTCAGTTCGGAGAGGAGTCCCCTTCTCGAATTAAATACAGATTAACGAGAAATATTTGCATTTGGCTCGTTCTTTGGTACAAGGCGAATTTTCGAGAAATATATTGCAGATTTACTTGCTTGAAACTTCTGTAGTACCGAACATTGACTTTCATACCATCTATGTTTCAAGTTAAAACTATTTCGTAGCCGAACATCGATAGCTCAGTCAGTAAGGAAAATTCTCGTGCAGTTTAAAATGCTATACCCTGTTCATTTAATGTTGGCGTATTTATATTAACTATGACACTTGGAAGGAGAAATGAAAATATGATTGGCCAGAAAAATACAATGTCTGGTGCTCACAGAATCAATCAGTTATGTAGGCCACTTTAATTAATCACAATTCAATAGTAATAAATTCCACAAAGTATAGACAATGTTCTTGGTTTTGGTGCTCTGTAGACTCATCAGTAGACACCACTGCAAAACATACTTTCTCCATCTTCAGGGCATGCAGGAAAAAAGACAATTTGTAAATTTGAAATGTTTGATAACTGGCTGTTAATTTATTGATATTTTATTGAATGATTTAAAGTAAAGAAAGTAAGTTTCACATTACACACTTCATTCTATCTTCATATCTTGCAGCTGATAATTGAGATTAAACTATCCACACATCCAGCTTATCATTTTCAAGAAATGAATTGCTACTTGAATAAATTTATAATATAAGACACTTCACTTTCTTTGATGAATTTAGTCTCTTTGAGTACATAATGAATGAACTGTAGACAGAATTTAAATCATCTCTAGCTGCTTCTTGCATTTTTATAACTTCATCCCTAATTTGACCCTCATTTCCTGAATTAATATTAAGTTCCACCTGACATAGTTCACCAGAAGACATGCTGAGGTTCTCTCGAGCTTTATCAAGTACTGCTCGTGCATCATCCCTAGAGATTACTGGTATACCTAAAAACAAAACAAATATTACATTAAATGTTCCCTTAACTAATGTACCAGCTGAGTATGTGATACTCCAATAAACAGATTTTATTTTCATTAGCCTTGAGCAGTGTTGTATATTACTAACAAGTTAAAGCATATTAATCCATGTGTGATTCTGTGCCTTTAATAGTATGAAATCAAGGAAATATATAAATATGGAACACTGCACTAACCTTGATTAATGAGTTTATCACATTCTGCCCAGATTCCAAGGATTTGAGCGTGAGCTTCAAAATTACGTGCAGGTTCACTGAGAAATTCTTTAAAATAATGAAGTCCTTTTGGGTCTGCTAAGAGATAAGTAATTCCTTTTGACCACTTGTCCAGATCTGAGTTTTCTGGCTTTGAAAATCCAGTCATTCCCCATATACCCAGCCATTGTAGATGACTCATCTAATTCAGAAATGTTCACATACAATCAACATGCCATAAAAAAGTAGATAGTCATAAAAATATTCATATTAAAAGAAGTAAAGGTTTTAGCAACCAATTAAAATAATACAAAAAGTAAAGAACATACTATCATATATATTCCCTTTCCTAACATAGTTATAGTTTGATGAGTAAACAAAAAGAATGACAAAAGACTGACAACATTACTTTAAATGACAATTTTGTTGACGTTTGGAAAACATTAATTATCCTCTGCCTTTCTTCCTCTTCACTGTATGTGCAACATTTCTTTTTTGAATTAAACCACATTGTGTCATTCACATTCCAAGAGATAGATGAATGTCTTATGCAGTTGAGAAACATTTGGCTAGATTCTGTATCTGCAGTGATTCTTCCCACAGGATACCATGTTCCTCGACCAGGAATCAAACACCATAAGAATTATAATAACTGTTTCTTACCTCATTCTGAGGCAGCATCAGTGGAGTTGAGTTAAAGTTTATGTACTACACACCATAATAAATACAGCATGTAAACGACACATTCCGTTGAGTTGCAAATCAGTTTAGGTTATACAAATCTCTAATTTAATTTGGTAACTTTATGCCGTCTAGCTTTCCAGAAGCCATTGAAAAATTTTGCCAAAGATGACATAAACATTCTGGAGGTATACCTAACAAAATAATAATATTTTCTTGATAATCACATTATAACCTTTCTTAAAATACAAACACCATAAGACGATAAATATTTTAGGTTATATGATTTATACACGCACCTGAGTAATCCCTATGCGTCTTGTATTTACAAGAATTTTACAGAAGAAAACACAGTAACCGTGGGAAAATGTGTTTAATATTTTGTTGATAACCAAATTGCAATCATTCTGCGTATATGAACACCATCATAATAGCCAATATCCTGCCATGTAAACAGTTAAAAGGATTAAATTATGGCGGGAAAGACCATTACAAATAAATTAATTGTTGAAATACAATTGGCAATTCGTATTGCTTCTTCCAAACATATATACTGCTCCGGTTAGGGAGAAAAAAAATACACGGAAATACGGATATACATACATACATACATACACACAGACACACCCATATATGTGGTTCAGCATATCTTGACCTTGATTTCTCCTACCAAGCCAAATATTAATGTGAAATAAATAAGAAAATCAGAAGTTTGGTGTTATATATGAATTACACATAACAATTAAAAATTTAAGTATTCAACTGAAATCCTAAGGGAGAATAATTATGTACGATATTTCCTCTTTACCCTAACAGGAAAATTATTGATATCAATAATTTTCAATATGCACATTCAGCATTCTCTAACATCCTGTTCTACTTAATTCACAACTAGATTTTACTACTTAAATGAAATACATGTGTTCATCTTATGGTTTGAACCCACAGTTCCCAGTGCTGCCCAAGGCCAAATGCAATTCTAGTCACATTTATGTTTTTGATGTTACAGTGCTCGCACGTATACGTAATTGTATAACTTTGAAGATTTTATGAATTCATAAATAATCTTGATATTCTGTTGCATATTCAATTGTTTAGAATAAAGAGATTTTTGCTTTTTAGTGTATAAGTACTAATGCTTATTCTAATTGTAAGCAAATTACTTTATATGTAATCATGGCTTGGTTTCTGACGTAAATACGTCTATAAGGAAGGGTCAGTGTCATTCCGCAAAAAAGTGTAAGAAAAATGTGTAAGATGGTTACCTAGGAAACGTTACATTACAATACATTACATTACTCGGTATTTTTGTTACCTAGGAAACGTTATCTTTTTACTCAGCATTGTTGACATCTAGGAAACGTTACATTACATTACATTACTCGGTATTTTTGTTACCTAAGAAACGTTACATTACAATACATTGCATTACATTACATTACATTCAGCTACCACAGACCCATCTTAAGCGTAACTAATTCAAATTAAATAAGCAATGTCTTAATCAAACTTTACTCAATTGTAAAGCATGTATAAAGGAAATATTTAGAATAAAGCCAATATATAAACTTCCTTTCCGTATAGTCGTATTTACGTCAAATTCTCCGGAAGCGTGGTTACACTGTCAATTTGTTACAGAGTTTATAATGCAGAAGTGAAAGAAAAATTATACTAAATGCTTGATTCATTTTCTCAAGTAATTTGCTTCATGCAGTTTTTCCTAACATTTTCATGGACTTTACTGGTGAATTTGTTTTAATATCTGAATCCATGTACTTGAAGTTGAGCAATAATAATATTTCTCTGAATAGGTTATGAACCCATCACCAAGTCTGATGCAGGGTCATTACCTTTCTATCCTTTAGACTTTCAGTGTTTTAGGAGCAGTGGCCTTTCTATATGGCTAGAGTTCCTTCTTTCCATATTATTCTTTGCTTTATCACTCTCCTCTGGCTGGATAGCACTGAGTCCTCCCATCTTACCAAGGACATTACTCCCAGGAGGGTTGTGATCTGTCTACATACAAAATATTACAACTCCAGTGATTCATTAGTTATTATTATGAAACCAAAAGCTAAGTACAGATTTCAAGTAGCTACTATATTTTATCTTTTCCATGGCCCCTCCATTCTGATTTATTTTCATAATCATACCTAAAGCAACTTTTAATCCAAAATCTTTACACACTGTTTACATCATTCCTGCATACCACAATATTTGGTAATACAACCTTTGATAAAAAAAAACTTACTGAAAGATATATTATTTTTACTGTTCTGACTTATTAAGAACAGTATGTTGATTTCAGTATTTTAAAGGCTGATTTTTGTATGAAAAATTTTAAAAAGAAACTTCATACTGTTTTCATGTATATATTGGTATCTTACTTTCTAAAGAAATAATGAGCCTGTGATAAGTAAGCATACTACATAATAGTATGCCATGAGCAGAACAGAATATGCAACTACATAGAACTTGAGAAAATGACCTTAGATACAATAGATCTTTATTTTCAATTTCTTCCATTGAGTAATATTATAATTAACATTAAGGGAAATATCAGCTGCTGCTGTCTGTTTTGTTATTTCAGTACCTTGTACTGAGAAATACAATCTACCTAACCAAAGTCCTGGTACAGTTGCTTCACATGAAATATGGGAATTCCAATTTCTAGGTAGTAATTAGGACAACACAGCTGAAAGCTACAAATTCCTGTTTATTACTCACATACAAAATTCTGTATGTGACATTAAAATCTGAATACTGGTACACCTACTGAATTTTACACTATGGTTTTTGTCCACCACTCATTTTCAGTTCAGTGAATTGTTCAGCCCTCAGCCATTACTATAAATATCGTATTATGTGCTATTGTTTGGTACTATATTCCTGGAAAGCAGTGAATGGAATAAATTCACATCAGAATAATACTTTTAAATTCATACCCCATTCTAGTACACTTACTTTAAACTATGAGTTATAACATGTAACATTTAAAATGATGATAAAAACATCAAGGCTAAAAAAATATATCTATCCAACATTACAAAACTTACAGCCACAAAACATTAACAACATTAACAACGTTCCATGATATGTAAAGCTAGTAGTAAAATAACATCCAGTATACAATATCAACACATATGATGAAAGTGTTACAAGAGTACATACATCACCACACTTAGCGTAATGTGGAATGTGGTTAACACAGCAACTGTTAAAGATTTCTGTCTTCTGGGTTGTTGCGCTGTGTAGTCTGGTCAACGTTAACCAACGTTTCAGAGGTCATACTGCCTCCGTCATCAGGGCGAGGGTTAACATTGACCAGACTACACAGCGCAACAACCCAGAAGACAGAAATCTTCATACTCACCGCTGTGAAAACCTCAAATCTTACAGCAACTGTTCATTCTGCCTCTTCTGTGTATCTGAGTAATGTTGCTTGGTTATGAAATGTTATATTCAGATCTGCAGGGTGCTGTTCCCATGGTTCTCCATCTACTTGAACTGGCGTCATAGCCTTTAATTTGATCTGTAGGGTACAAAAATCACAGTGTTTCCTTTTGCCTTATTTTGGGTTCTGCATCATTCAGTTGGTAAGTAAAGTAAAGTTTGTCCCACTATACGCCATGTAGGCGCTTGGGGTGAGTGGAGGTATAGCTCCTCTCTTCCTTGACCTCGGCACTAGATGGGGGTGAGTGGTCAGCATCACGCCCCCGGCCGGCTTTACCCCCGGGAAAGGACCCCCGGTACCCATTGTAGAGGAGGCTGGGTGGGGATCATTATTTTGGTTAGCTCTGGAAAGAATGTGGCTTTTCCCAAGTCATTAAGTTTATGCAGGGCTACTATCTACAATTCTTGAAAGATTTTTGGGTTATATAATAATCGTGCTTATATTCCAGAAGTTACATAGTACTGACAGAGATGGAAACATAGTTATGAACAGTGAATAGGTGAGGATTTAGAAAGGGTATGTCATGGCTTAATTCAAAATATGGTCTGGGCACATGCTTGAAGAGACTGGGAAAAACCAGAAAAACCTGTCAGTAACACGACTTAGACATAAGCTGGGTACCTACCAAATACAAAGTCTAGAAGAGTTGTACTTGATATGTAAAGGCATAAGATCAATGGCAGTGGGGAAAATAAGTATTTCAGTGTCTTAAGATAAAAGGTGTCATAACACAAGAAAAAAATAATGTAGTAGTTTTATAGTACAGAAAGTACGGATTTGTGTGTGTGTGTGTGTGGGGGGGGGGGGGTGTTTGCACGCGCATGTGTTTCTATATATGCATATGCTACTGCAATTTAAGAACCATTTATCAACTTACAGTCTAAATAAGAAACTAATCTACAGCATACTGAATTTTAACTTCTTGTAATTAGCAGAAAACATTTTATGTAACTTTTGGCTGTTTATAACAATTGTGAATGCAGGAGAGACACCCACCTGAACAGAGGAGGCCTGTCCCACTCTGTGTGGCTGCGAGAGTCCAACCTGAAGCTGTGCAATGTGGAATGAGGAATACAAAGCAACCACCTCCAATTTGTTGTCACTGTAGCTCTGTGTGGGAACACTCTCAATGTCTGATAGTGTACAAAAACTTATTTTATATAAGCTTGCACACAAAAATAATCTTAACATTAAACAAGTAATGCAAACATATCACAGCCCAGCAAAGGGACTATAAACACAAATATCATGCATAATCTGTAATTCCTCCATGTATTAAAAGTCAGGATTAAAGGCAATCTTTTAGAGGCTTAGTCTAAACA